GCGATATTTCTTGCCCACGTAACTTTATCGTCCGATTTTAACCAGCCCAATCGTTATTTACAATTAGACTTGAACTGACAACTTCAGACAACATTCACTTCATTTAATTCGCATATTTTAGGAGCTACGTCTTCCGAAAACGTTGCTCCCGAGAAGTTAAGTTCAAATTATTTAATCAGGAGCAATTTCGGTAGATAGGTAATTTTAATTCGGACCAATTATACCAATTTGCATACGGCGGAAAGAGAAATTAATCTAATTAGAGAAAATTGTAGCTGCATGAACATAAATTCATGCACGCTAAGACATAGGTTAAAAAAAGACTTGGCTTAATTAATGGTGACGCAAATTAACAAAGAAGTATCCATCAATATTGTCATTTTTATTTCAAAAACTATTTGACGTTTTATCACTTAAAAATGGTCATACATACAAATACATTTTTGTAAAGCCTTTGGTTAAATCTTAAAAAAAAATAAATTAAAAAAATAATTGTGTTGCAAAAATTATCTACTTTTGGGTTTTATTAAAAAATTGTATTTTTTTACGTCTAGCCAACGAACAGTGCAGTGACGTGACTGCTAATTCTGAGCAGATCTTAGCAATGAGTTCCTCACGGCTCTGTAGTGGGGCCCTGACTGTTTAATATTTTTATAAATGACACATCTGACATTTATTGCGTATTAGTATTAAATAGTTACTGTTTAAAAACGATAGATCATTTCCAACCTTCGGATTTCCCAACGTTGTTTTGTTGTCAAAGGTTCGGCTTATCCTCCTAGTTGACGAAACGTCGTAAATATTCTACTCCGTATTTGCATAAATTACTAAATAATGTAAAAATTTTGTACATTCGTTTACATTTTTTTACATTTCATTTGCCATTTGTCTAATTTTAGATCTAATACGAATGCGAATAATAACTAACTCCCCCAATGTGTCATGTGTAACAATCATTCTGTAATTTCCGACAAAAAAAAAATTATTGAATTTGTAGTATTTACAAACCTTACATCTCTCGACTACTGTAGTCTCTAGCGTCTTTCGTGAATTGTGATTCGAATAGTGTTTACATTAGTTTTTCAATTGTCAAAAATGGCTTACTTGTTGTGCAAAACCGTACTTATCTTATCAACTTCGACGTCACCTGTTACATAGGTGTTGTATAACAATGAAAAAGTAATACTAACGGTTGGTAGAAGGAAGCGCAAAAAAGAAATACGCCTAGATAGGAAATTCTGAAAGGAAGCCTAGTTAGTTGAAGATAGGCAGTTGAAGTGCGAACAGTGTGGAGATCGGTAGTAAGACGATCGGCGGGCAGTGTGACAAAGTAGTGTAAAATTAATTGTTTAAAGTGTTATTAGTCAGCAGGTAATATTCTTTAAGTACTTTGTTGTTAATTGTTCTATGAAATCTTATGATTGTGATGTTTATAGATGTTTCGTGACAATAATTCTGTATATGTTTAGCCTTCATTGTCTTACGCTTAGGGGCGTATATTTTTCTAATATAAAATTGTTACAATTATTATTTAAGGTTGTTCATTATTTATGACATGTTCAAATATGTATTTTGTCGAGACCGCCCAGATAGTACAATAACGACTTCTTTATTTCACATTTAACTTGTTTTAAACAAGATCAGGTTGTACTTTGATTTCTTGTGTCCACTTTATGTCACACGTCTATACGAGCCTTGTTGCAGTTATTAACATTTTCGCCCGTGCGGAATGAATCTGGATTACGCTGGATAGCCTCCCGTATGGGACTCCAGTGTTAAGAAGGACCTTCCGAAATCTCAACTTTAGCTGAGTAGCCTCCCGTATGATGGGACCTCAGTACCTTCCGGCTCTGCCGGCTAACTAACACCAAATCTCTCCAGTTTTACTTGGAAGTGTGTATGACTAATATGAGGTAACAGATGACATTTAGTGACACATTAAATGAGACAGGACTTATTTATCATTAGCAAAGGTTCTTAAATTATGCCTTTGATTAGCGGTTGTTTTGTATTTATATTTGGGTGGTAAGAGCAACGATCGTGGGTTTCTCTGCCATGCTCTTTCCCCGCAGGAGCTCTAGGTGAGCCTGGCACTCTCCTTTTATGTTTAATGGTTGTTAATGTTTTTTGTTGTTCTTTCTATTTGTCACATGTTTAATTTGAATTGTATGTAAATAAAGGTTAGGTGTATTTACTCTGCTTTTGTTTTATATAATTAAACCATACATCCCCTCTACAAAGTTAGTAGCCAGCGCCTCCCGGTCAATTAAAAATGTATACACACAACGTAGGGATTCCTTATGACGATCACATATTTTTGGCCACAACTACGTTTACTTATTTTTTGTCGAACCTAGGGTTGTTATACTACATTGTATAACAACTCGTAGTTGATGGAGATCGTTTTAATTTATGGTAAAGCAAGACAGCATTTGTGTGATGGTGAAGCATTTGTGTTATGGTAAAGCAAGACAACATATGTGTTAGTTCGTAGAAACTGGATAAGACGGGCCCAAATGTGTTTCCAAGTCGGTGGAGTTGTTGTAACATCAAGTTTTAGTTGAACTTCAAATTAACAGATGGCGCGATTAAAGCATAGCAAATACTCCACTAATTCTTTAACTGACATTTCTGTCAACTGTCGAAACATCACAACTTTTTTAACACCAGAGCAGTACTCGTAATAACAACGCCGCCTTTGTCCCCCCCAAACCATCCGTTGGACATTGGTTATCATTAAAATCGGGTAATAATAATTTATGGCGATCGAGAAATTAAAATGGTTTCTGTGTGCCTTACAAAACCACAACGGTGACCATGAGATTAGATCACTTCGAGCATAAGTGTTAAGTGTCGAGTTGTATTCCAGTCACGAAACTGTAGAATTAAAGCCATCCACAAATAGGTATATTCTATTTTATCGTTTAAATATCACCTTTCGCTTAATACTATACAGATAATATTTCGAAAAATGCCATAATGTTACAAATTGTGGATAACTAGAGACGCAACAGTAGATACTGCTTTGCTCAAGTTTAAATAATGTTATAACAGCAAAAATAACATTTTGTTGTAATGTCCGACAGTAAATCGTACATTCCAGGACCGTACTTCGTTTCCACGTCTTGACATAACAAAAAATGGACATGTTTGTAAGTTAATTTTGTACACCACAACGACATACGTATAAGAAAACGAGAATTTTTTTATGGATTAGTAAATAATCAAGACGAAAATGGAACAGTTGAATTAAAGACTATCTACGACTGGTGGCGGAACAAAGAGTAATTCAGGTTAAAAAGCTTGGACAGTCAAATGTATATTTGACATTATTCTACAAGTAAAATACAAAAAGCAAAACATGTGTAACCTGATAAATACGCTTTTTGGGTGTAATTTTTGGGCTAACTTTCTATAAGCCAAAGTCGTAATTATAAATTCTAGATTCCATATTAACGGCGCCCATGGTGCATTCAAACTAAACGCAAATATCTCATTCTACTGACGAAACGTATGCTACTGTTTATGTCGGCCAAAATTATAAACTCGATGTCTCTAGTCGATACCTATCTGTTTTAAAAGTACGTTGTATGGATGTTTCATATGGTAACGCTAATTTTTGTTGGAAATAAACTTCTGCAAAAAATTAAGGTAGCAAAAAATTTTTTGAATTTTTAGTGATTTTTCAGAATCTCAGTTAAAAATGATCGTATCAAGGTTTTAAAAAAAGCATTTTAAAGCGCCGAATGTCTAGTTTCCAGATTTCTTAGTTCAAAATTTTTAGGAGCGACAGTCATCGCGAAATTCTAAGAAATAAGACTAAAAAAATTTTTTTTCAATTTTTTGCGGTTTTTTTCTCTGTCCACGGCCTTGGAAAAATTTTTTACACAAAAATCATGATATGAAGTTGATAGCCTGTTCATTCAGCTTTAATTTCTTTTTTTTAAATTTTCTCTACGTTAATTTGACCCGGAGATATTCGACTACGAATACAAAAGCGTCCTTTTGGCTTTAACCATCAATATCTCAACAACTAATGATCAGACAGAAAATTGACGGGCAGTTTCGAAATCTCGAATAAACCTCCTACAAGGCTATGTAGCGTTCTTGGAAGAAAAAAATTTTCTTTCATCCTCGACATTAACTTGAAAAAGTGAAAAAAGTGACTTTTTGACTTGTTTTGCTAAGTCGATCGCATCTTTGCTAATATCAATGGAGAGTCTAATGCTTGTACGAATTTTTACACATCGATGTACCCCCAAAAGCTCCGTAAATGGGCAGATCGATCTATCGAACGGTTTTTTCGGACCGCTTAATCAAAATTTCAGAAAAATTTAAAGGAGCAAAATTTACATTTCTGAGCATCCTGTATCGTTTGTAAAAATGAAAAATTTGATTTTTTTTTCAATTCTTTCACAATTGGGCATTTTTTGCTCATTGAATTTTTTTGTGTAAACAATTTTTCCAATTTTTTTAGTCTTATTTCTTAGAATTTCGCGATGACTGTCGCTTTTAACAATTTTGAGTTAAGAAATCTGGAAACTAGACATTCGGCGCTTTAAAATGCTTTTTTTAAAACCTTGATACGATCATTTTTAACTGAGATACAGCATTCTTAAAAATCACTAAAAATTAGAAACATTTGTTTGCTCCCTTAATTTTTTGCAGAAGTTTAGTTCTAAATATTATGTAGAATGATAATTGCGATATGCGCCTGCTGAAAAAGTTGTGCATAATTGTTGGCGCAAAAAAAATTAGGGTTACTATAATAAAACATCTATACCGAAACAGATACCAACTGAACTAATTGTACATTTGTCTTTACGGTCATCACATAATTATTGTTTAAATCTGTTCGCGTGCAAAAAAATTACGAAACACGTGTCTCAAACAGCTTACACAAATCTTTTGTAAAGAATTATTAAAAAAAAGAGAGAGAGAAACGACTATGCTTAATTTATTTGATTCGCCAGTGAAAATTGTAATTTGAACCGACTTACCAGAATACGACGACTTGGACGTCTCCAACAGCTTGAAGGTAAAGGGGATGTGGACCTTCATCATGTTCATTTGCGGCACCCTGGGCGGCACCTGGTGCAGATTTGACGGAAAGACGAACTCTTCGCCGTGTACTCGCAGCACCATCATGTTCCTAAAACCAAATAAATTATTTCAATGCTTGTATCAATCCTGCTCAGAGATGGAACTAGGAACGATGACCTTTAGCTCTTATCGTATACCAGCATCGATAGAAAAGTTGTATTAGCGTTCACAACAACCGTAAGCTAATAACCATGAGAGAGAAATTATGACATCGTTAAATAATCTCTCGCTTGGCGATTGCTCCAAAGTTGGCCATGACCCAAAAGCGATTTTCGTGGTTTGTTGACAACCTTTCGAATGCACCAACCAAAAAACAGTTAAAACTTAAAACACGTCCATAATTTTTAACATGTTGCAATAATCGAGACATACAGGGTGTTTCATAACTCTTCCGACGCAGAGCAGGCACGTGTAAAGGTTCTTAAAAAATATCGATCTGTTATGTAACATTTTTTTCTGGGATGTATGGAAAGATATATTGGCCTCTGAAGATGAGTGTTAAATTTTCAAAAACAATATTTCAGCAATGCCTTAACATAGGGTAAACAAATTTGGTACATGATTTGCGTTTATTGTTATATTTAATTGGTAAAAATATGAATTTTTGAGGCCAATAAGGGCCGGACTAGGAGTAAGGCGCCCTTAAAATGATATCGATTTTTTATATCAGTGTGCCAATTATTAAATAATTTTGCCAGTATTACAGGAAATTTAATTTTAAAAATTTTTTTACCCCTACAAATTTCTCGAAAAAATGACGCATTTTGAGAAAATCGGAATTTTGTGAAACAGCGTCATTACTAATTGAATCGAACAAAAAATTAAATACCTATGCAATTTTATGACTAGTAGGCTTTGGTTTGATGTGTCATTTTTGACATTTACAAAAAAGTATCAAGAAAAAGCAATTTCATTAAATTAGATACTTTATTTTGTTTTTAACACATTAAGGAAAGGGGAACTTACAAACAAAACATTAACAAATTCGACTTTATCCACATGAACTACCGACATCTTTAGATAGCACTAAAATAACTGTTGAAAATGGCCATCATTTTCTCTAATATAAAGGCTGTCTTACAAAAAACGCCCCAAGCTGTAACTGTTAATAAATTGTTCTATTTAAAAAACAAAAGACTGTTGTTAATGGCTTGACAAATACTACAATCGAGCACTGATTTTAATCTTTGTTGTCATCATCAGAACGTTAGGCGATTTTCAATTGTTTTTTCTTAATAGTCAAATTATTATTTTTTGGCTTGTTCGATAGAGTATTTTTTCTGCAGTCAACGATATATTACAACTTGATATTTCTTAAATATTTTATGGAAAAAATATTTTTTTACAAAATTTATTAGAGAAATGCCATGTCTAATTCACGGCAACTTCTGATAAAAATGTGAAATTTGCTATGAAAACAATTCAATTTAGAAGCATTAATTGTATACATTTTTGGGAGTTTAACGCTATAGTAAACAGTTACAAATTGTGCACCACATGTTAAAACTGTTGAACATTCATATTACGAATACGAGAGATTTATTATTAACATTTGTGAATAAACTTTCATATATTATTATAACTACGATTATTTTATTTTAAAAAAATATTGTAATGTTTAAGAATATATTATGGCACATAATTTAATTTAGACCCATTAAAGTTAGTTTAGCTTTATTTCCAACATTATCGTTTGTCTGTGCATCTCGTTAAAAATATAAAATTCTATTAACCGCGCGTGAACAATTCTTGGAAGAATAATAATTCAATCGTGATGTTTTGTCGGCGACTCACCACGTGATACAATATTTGTTTTGTTTGACTATATTTACTCATCTAGGCATAATAACAATGCATTATTATTTACCCAACTCATTGATACACATATGCTTTCCACTAAAATTAAATAACCCTCAGGAATACTACGATTAAAATTTATGTACGCTTTGTGGACGTTTCGCCAAATTCACCGTCCTCCTCAGCGTGCCCTACCACAGTAGTTTTAGTTCATATTCCACCAAGAACTGGTTTGTACGTTCCTTTGGACATGTACACATACATTTGAATTTTGAAACAACAATAGCATTATTTTATTTAAAGAAAGCTCCCCCGCAAACCCCAAAGCCTAAATTTCCAAAATTGAAATCAAAGTAGTCCCTGAAATATTCTAATGGGCCGTCATCGTAAGACAGCCTGTATAATAAACAAGTTCTAAAATAGTCCACTCATATTCCGCATAATATTTTCATTTTCTGGCAATTCTTATTTAAAACAATGTAATCTCTAAGCATACCACTAACATTTTCACTGGTACATTCAACTTTGAGGTTTTTGACTTCATTTTATGGTCAGAACCATTGACAGCGTCCTGACTAATAAATGATATTTCTACTTCATGAATCTATAAACAAATACACCAAGTTTAATGATATCTTATGTTTTTCCTCACATAAGTGCAGGTTTTAGATCATTTTTGATATATAAAAATAATAAATAAACAATCAAGATTACAAGAAAATTTCAAGTATAATGAATAATACATATATGTAAAACAGACTGTAATATAAATGTTATCACATCCTATTCGAAGCACCAAAAATGTGTGGGAATCTCAAAACTTTGCAACAATGATATCAAAAACAATTTTACATTATATTAAAGCACAATAAAAAGTTAACAGGTATAACTGATAACTTGATTTGGTTACTAAAAGTGGTAAAACTCATTAATTATTAGTTTATCATAGTGTGAAATAAAAACTCAGCTGAGGTATTATCGAAACTTTTAAGTTTTTTTCCACAGTATACGCCTCGAAAGCAATAGTATGTTTCGAAACTAATAGCAGATATTTCAGAAATGGATACACTTACACGTCATCGGAATTACGCAAATGACTCCACAAAGTACTAATTATTACACAATAATTTAAATTATACTCGAAATATACTAATATCGACGTTGTCCATCGTTAAATGCTTCCCAATGTCTTGATATAGCATAAACCTATGTTATACAACGTTTCCGACCCAGATCCTAATGCAGCAGGACAATGCGGTTTTAAATGCATATTGTTGAATGGAATTACATAATTCAAATATTCGTTATTTTAAACAATATGTATACATTTTAATTAATGTACTTTTTCGTAATAAAATCAACACTGTGCTTACTACTAAAACTGAAAACGATTCTTCTTCACAACGATATTTTTTATTGCATTTATATTTTGAGAGACTGGAAAGCATAATTTTGTTGAAAAAAATCACGATTTTATCTCTAAAATTAGAAAGTTTTGTTGCGCATTACAGTCGTTGCTCAAACTTGGCAAAAATATTATATTTGTTTTGCGCATTACCTAATTTCAAACACACGTGCAGACATTTTCCACAACTTTAAACGAATCGTGATTAAAATTGAGAAAAACGACCAATATCGATTATTGGTCGTTTCATTAGCATTCCAAACAATATTATCAAACCACGACCTACGCTTACTGCATTTTTTTATTACTTGTAAATATGCCAAGGATGATTTATAAGGCCAATAATGCCCCTAGTTTATGGTAGTTATATATTCTTGACGCAAGATTTTTTTTTAGTGAACGATCAAACGAATCTTGACTACTGAAAGAGAAATATTTCTTACATCCAACCAACATTTTCAATCATAACGAAATTATTGTAAGAATCGTATTTAAAAAAAAATATTAAATAGCAAATTGCATAAGTTTCTCTTAAATAACATCAATTTGCTATAATGACCACAGTCTATTTTTATTATTATGCAATGCCCAATGAATGTAATAAAATGTGCTAGTTTAAATGTCAGTGGCGTAGGCATGAGAATCTCATAAAACCTAATCCTAAAGATTTTCGAATTTTTGAAAGATTGAAGCTATCCTCAAAATACCTATAAAATTATACGAAACTTAGTCAATCTAGAAAGAGTACCTAGGTATCTTATGTGAAAAAACTTTGACTACAAAATTTATTACATAGTAAACAACAACAACGTTCCCATGACAAAAGATTTTCCCATTATTATCTGCTTCTTATTAGTAAAATTAGATAAGACAAATTAGCACATTCATATGCGGAAATCACAATCATTTATCTATTCCACACATTTATGAATGCGAGGATTTAAATAAAAAACTCGTTCAATCATAATGAAATAAAATATTCATAAAATTCATTTGCAATTTCACCCTTCACCACTTGCAAAATCGGGCGAGTGGGTGTGATTTCTGCATACTTCTGCGAACCTAGCAACCGGAGAAAAAACGATATTCTAGTTCTATTAGCCTTAAATATAAGAGAAAATAATAACAAACCTGGTGATGAACAATATCATGGCACAGAAACATAACAATACCGCGAGGACGGAGAAAATATTGGACAATTCAGCAGCCGACACTAGCAACGTAGTCATTGTTTTGGTCACCATTGTTTATATACCCAATGCGCGAATAAATTACCACACTGACATCGCTACAACGCGACAACAACACGCGAACTGCTACAGATTGAATTGAGTTGGGAGAGCTGTAGTAGAACGTCAAGCCCCCATTTACTTTTCCACGACGGGCATCATTGACATTTGACGTCACTTGACGTTTGGAGATGCGTTGTTCTCAGAACAGCTAAAGTGCGTTTGTTTGGTGTTCAGAGCAATTGCAGCTCTGTTCATTCGATAGTTTTTCGTTAATATCTTCAAATTGAAAACATTTCAAATTGAGAATTTTAATAAGCTAAAACTTTTTTTAAGTTCAATTCAAATCCAATGGCTTTTAAAACAACTTACATTATCGACTATTGCATTTGAGTGTGGTTTACTCTTACTTTACACTGTGTATGGCTAACAACAAATTTGTGTGCTGTAATTTCTTCAAATGGTACAATCGATCAAACAGGGCTCTGAGATGTCAAAATGTTTGTTGTTTACGGTGTTTATCAGCTGTTTCGGCTGATAGAGTTTGTGTACATTTTCGTTATATTTACATTGTTTGCTTGGGTGCTACTTACATTCGATAGCACCGAGATGAGTTCAGATGAGAAACTAGTTTCCGTAGATTTTGAGGTCTTTGGCAGAGTCCAAGGTAAATATACGTTTCACTTTCTTAATTAAATATCTAATTGCTTGCGTTTCTAGGGGTATTTTTCCGCAAGGTAAGATATCTGCTTGAATGTACAATTGAGGTAAGTTAACAGCATGAAAATTTGATTTTAGTATACCGAACAACAAGCCAAGCGTCTAGGACTGAGAGGTTGGTGTATGAATACCGTACAGGATACTGTCAAAGGAGTTATAGAAGGAAGTCCGTCTAAGGTTGCCGAGATGTAAGTACCTCTAATTGACTCACTGTTCATACTTACTCGGTCCTAATTTTTAGGAAGCAATGGTTAGAGAGGACGGGTAGTCCCCAGTCTAGAATCGACAGGGCAGTGTTCAGTAAAGAAAAGGATATCGGCAAGTTCTCGTATGACAGCTTTAAAATCAAACGATAATTTGACAGACGTCTAGAAAAAATTCAAGTATGTAATAATTTAATTATTTATTATTCAGTATTAAAATATTTAAAAACTGTCTCGGTGATTTTTTGCCTATTTTAAACTTTTAATTACATAACTCTGTTGAAATTCAACTTGGCTCTGTAAATAAGGATAATTTTAGATTATCTACTTGCTCTCTGGTGACTAAATTAAACTTGAGCGGTTTTTTATTAAATAATAGGTTAAAATTAATGATCTTGTTCTGTTTAATAATGTGGGGTTATGTTAGAGATATTCCACTTTCAGTACAGGGCTGTATTACTGGTTGTATAATTGGTTATACAACCAGTAATACATTTTTATACTCGAAACAAATGTTCCATCATCAAGTTTTATTGTTTAGTTTACAATAAAATACTAAATTTAACTGGAAACGAGAGCAAGACTTCCAAGTTATTTAAATTTATAATTTTTTCTACCAAAAGTGTGTTTACCCACAAAATCTCTTAAATATATGTAACAAAATTTATTAATAATCACAAACAGTGTTAAAAATTATAACAACCGATTAAATATCACACTAGCTTGAGTTCACTTACAATCGAATAAATAACAATCCACACCGCGAATATCACTAACGTGCCGATGAAGAAGTAAGTCTTTTTCTGGTTCCACGGACTGTCGGAGGACAAGTCCGGGGGTTGAAATCGTTGCCGGGCTGACCTGCAGACCTCCGGGGTGCAGGTAGTCGTCGCCCTGGCGGGAGGAGCTCCGTTCACCGTCACTTTAGTTAGCTCGGTACCGGTGTCTGTGCCTTTGAAGGCCTTCTTGTCCATCTGGAATCACAGAGGAATGTTAGAAGAAGAAGTTGTTACAGGGTTTCGAGCAAAATTTAGTTTTTAAAACATAATATGTCGATTTTATGTGCCGTCCTGCCGATACGCAACTGATTAGCATTTTTAATCTGCCACAAGTTCAAAAGGTAACCAAAATTTGTAAACCGTAGGTGTTAGGTACCAAATTTTGAATTATATTTGAAATTTACGATTTATTACGAATAAAGTGGTAATAAAAGTTCTAAAAATAAGGGAAAAAGTTTTCAATAGAGGAGTAAGAGATAGTTTCATCCTTTTTAAGAGAAAATGACAATTATGGACCAGAGTCGTTCAGGAATGGGTAGAACTGCAGGGTACAAATAAAAATTTTGTCCAGTCTTTCTTGTTGTAACATTTTTTCACTTATCTAAGACCAGAATTTGTACTTTTTTCTCACAAAAGAAATTCTGTTGCGTTTTATATTTAAAATTACCCATTTTCAAATCGTTTAAATTTTGCACTCTTTCATATTTTCCCAACCCATAATTATTTATGGAAGCTTTTTTATTTTTTTACTGGGTATTTTGCCACAAATGAAAACATTTTAAAAATTATTTGAATAAGCCCTTATCATGATCAGTCTCCTAAGAATCAATCCAGGGTTATTTTTATAAAAACAGTTTTTCGCAACCAAAAAATAACACAGAAAAGCCAATAAATTTAAAAAATCGCTTCACTTGTACATATACAGTGTGTCCAAGATAAGGATGGGATAGCATTAGGATCTAGGAAACGGTAAGGGATACGTGGTGGCTCAAATTAGAAAAAAGTTTTGTTTTTTATACCTAACAGTATGCCGTTTAGAAAGTTTTAAAATTCCGGGTAGTTCCGGAGATATCCAAAAGAACCCGAAATTTTGCAAAATTGTTCTATTTTTTTTCTGGATTTATTTGAAAACTAATTTTAAAATAAATTGCATATTTACAACGCCATTTTTTTCGCACTATCCAATGGCATCAGTATTTTTGCAAGCCGACGTTTCGTCTTCCTGGAGCCATCATCAGGTTAATTTTTTTGAATACATTGCTGCTATTTTTATAACAAAATCTAGTCATTTTTAATTCTGATTTAAATGATATTACTATTGTAATCGCTTTGAAAGGTTTTTAGCTTTTTTAGTTATCATTTAAAATTTTTCCTGAGTACGACTCTGAACGCTTTCAAAATATCTATTGGAGGAAGTCACTATAGTATAAATGTCAATACTGCACAAAATATCCAACAATTTTTTTTAATCAGCAAAAAAGTTGTACCCAATAAAAAAATTATACGAATTTATGAAATGTTTCATTATTTCTAATTAGTATTGCTTGTAGTAATAAAAAAAATTGTTGGATATTTTGTGCTGTATTGACTTTTATACTGTTATGACTTCCTCCAACAGATATTTTGAAAGCGTTCAGAGCTGTACTTAGGAAAAATATTAAATGATAGGTAAAACAAGCTAAAAACCTTTTAAAGCGATTACAATAGTAATATCATTTAATTCGGAATTAAAAATGACTAAATTTTTTCATAAAAGTAGCAGGGACGTATTTAAAAAAATTAACCTGACAATGGGCCCTCGAAGACGAAACGTCGGATTGCAAAAATGTTGACGCCATTGGATAGAGCGAAAAAAGTGGCAATGTAAATATGCAATTTATTTTAAAATTCGTTTTCAAATAAAGCCAGAAAAAAAATAAAACGATTTTGCAAAATTTCGTGTTTTTTCGGTATATCTCCGGAACTACACGGAATTTAAAAATTTTCTAAACGGCATATTGTTAAGTATAAAAAACAACTTTTTTCTAATTTGAGCCACCCCGTATCTCTTACCATTTCCCATCCTTATCTTGGACAGACTGTATAGCCGTTGTATAAGTACAATGGTATAGCACACCTTAAAAAGTAATCAATCTGTTTTCGTCTTCTAAATAATGATTTTTATTTTGCAATTAATAAATTATTTTGCAATTAAATATTTTTCTAGATAGTAGATTTCTAGACATTTTAATTAAAAAAAGGTAATTTTTTAGAGACAAATGTTTATAGAAAACCAACTCACACTAAAAGATATCTAAATTTTAATTTGAATCATCATAGCAATATAAAAAAAAGGAGTGGATTTTTTTTAAGGTCGTTCAAGTTTATTGAAGATCAACTCTAATTTTTTTATGGTAATACAATTTCTGACGTATGGGTATGGTAGTCTAGTGTATCACACATTGAATTTTTTTCTCAAATAGGCGCCCAGATAACGATTTCCAAAGTTCAAAATATTGCATTTATTTGTAAATGCTATAAACATTATGTTGGAGATATCTCTCTACTGTAAAAATTTGCGTAGACGAGCACAAAGATTACATTAAAAATCGATAATTTGAGAAATCAATTTTTTCCTGTCACGTTTGGGAAAACAGTCATTAATTCACTGGGATTTAGTAAAAACTTTGGAGTAATGTGGAAAATAACACCACTAAAAGAAAAAAGCTGGCGCGGAATCTCTTGCCGCAAAGGTTTGTTCATTATTTTGTAAAAAATATTCACCCAATAAATTAAGAAAAAAATGAAAACGTAAACAACTTTAGACTTTTTTTTCGTATTTCTGGACTTTTTTTCATATTTTAAGGAGTCCTGTCCACACATAGGCCACATGATATGTGCAATTTGACACACCCTGTATAAAAAGATACCATACCACTAAAATGAGGTATGCTCCAGTAGAATTAGAGTTTGAACGTGAAAAAATTATTAGTAGACATTTTAATTGCAGTTTATGAGGGGGAAGGGTATGTTTTTGCATTAAATAAGGCTTATTTTTACGGTAATTTTTAAAAAAGAAATCACCTAAGTCCCTTTGTTCCCAAGATGACTTTTTTTATAACGTTAATTTAACTATTGGACATATCGGACTGAGATTTTAGAGACAATTAAAGAAAGGGTTAAACTTTTATTTAAAAATAAGCTATTTAATGGAAAAAGAGCAAATTCCCGAGCCGCTTTTGCCTAACCCTGGGATAATTTGTTTATAACGCTGTTTTGCACGTTTTACTTAGTAGTAAAGAGCTACTTAAATAAACTATTTAAAACTTTTCTTTTTTGATACATTTCTTTGGATCAATATCTACGATGTTAACTTCTAAAATTATCGTCTAATAATTAAACAGTCAATTTCACGGTCAATCGAATCGGCGTTTGGTACACATGTTGGTCTTCGGATTGACCGTCTTTTCCATAGATTTCATCAACATCCATCGCTTTTTCCTATAATAATGCGCAATTTCCGAAAACTGATATTTCCGCGCTCGACCTTTATTTTGCACAAATTGATGAAACATGACTCTAGATACCTACCTTAAATTGTAGGTAATAAAAAAAATGAAAAAACCCGTAAATTTACAACTTATTTGGAATTTTCCAACTTAGCGTCACTTCTTTCAAGTTACTTTTTTGATATCATTTTACATACCTTTCCCCGTCATTAAGTGCAATAAAATATTTACTAATAATTTATTCAAGTTTTTTAGGTTTTATGACCTAATTCAAGTACCTAGTAGTTATAAAATACTTTTTTCTACAAAACTGTTAAAAGTGGGCTTTTTAATTGTCATTTTTGATGTTAAAAATGTCATTTTTTGACACGCGTGTTAAAAGTAAGTTACTTTTAACACTAGTGTTAAAAGTACTGGTTGCTACGAAAATTTTGGTTCATAAACACTGCGATCTGTGTGGTATTTTTTGATTTCTTATTTTTATTGAGTTTAAAGTTCTTCCGATTGTTTTGTAGAAAAAATAGTGTATGATATACGTGTTAAAAGTGATTTTATTTTGTTCGTGAAGTTAAAAAACTCGCTACGCTCGTTTTTTAATCATCTTCACTCACAAAATAAAATGCCACTTTTAACACTTGTATCATAAATAACTATTAAAAGAAATCAGTGCGTACTAGATCAAGATGTACTGTCAAAGGCTCTTATTATTTTGACGCCATAGAAAGACGATGATAACGATTCATTTCATAATATTGATTTATCAACAGGTATTTGTTAAAATAATTGTCTTATCAATGTTTGATACCATCTGGACTATAAAAATATAACATTTCTTGTATGTACTCGTTTATCAGAATCTAATTTTGTTTTTCTAGTTTAGGTAGGTACTGTAACAGATAAATTTCTTGTAAACAAAATGAAGGGAATTTTATCAGTTTTTGTAGAAATAGAAATACAAATACTTTTGACCAACATAACTTTTAGTTGTGATTTTACTGAATAAAATGAAGTGAAATTGTTTTGAGTATCTGCCGAGATTATTGGTGTCAAAGTAATGATAACAATTCCATTTATTGGTAGATACAATGAAAACTATTTTATTTCCTTCACAAAATAGTAATCACCCATTTCAAGAAAATGTAACAAAACAGTACAATAGTCAATAAAAATCCGTTCGATAAAATGATTTCATAATTTTTTGTAGCATTAATGGGTATATTTACAATTTCAAAGTACCAGAATTATCACGTTCTATGAATGAAAATACTTTTTTAAACATAGAACTGTGTTAACATTAAATTCACTCTAACTATATACCTGCTCCAAAAATATTTACTTTATCAAACATATCCGGCTAGCAACATAAAAAAAACGTTTCCATCCCCTCAGTCGCCTCCACAACAACACTTCCTTCAACTACACTATAGCAGAGTCACTGTCACCCCAGACTGCCATTGTTATTGATAACCGTCCTCGAAAAATCTTCACCTCAACGGCGATAAGCCACCGCTTATCGAGAATTTCGGTTTCCGATGCCGCCGCAGGACAAACAACAGCACCCTTGTCCACAAACTGTCCCTAATATAGGCTGCGATTGGTGCCGTATTTATTAACTCTCCTATTTGCATAATATGCCAATACCAGCGATTGTTGTTATTTGTTTATCGGTTATCGTCGTGCGACGACTATACTGTTTGTGATACAATA